CTCCTGGAGAGAAGTTCCATTGATGCCAGATAGGTCCATGTTTCACTGAACTGGGTATTATAGACATGGAAGCCCAAGGTGACATTGGGTAAGATCTGCCCATTTTCATTTATCTGTTTTACAGCAAATGCCAAGGCCAGGATGTGCTGGTAGGTCTGAGGTAGAACACTGCAAGAAGGGTTACATGGTGCAAAATATTCATGATATTCAGATTAGGATGTTTATTATGTATATAGATATATAAAAGATAACACTGAAATGGCTTGTATTTATGCTTGCAGTCCACAAAGTATAAAGAAATATTCACTTCTCCACAATAGCAGAAAATGGTAATAATGTACTTAGTAATGCTAAGATGATTGTGTTAATAATTGCTGGGGGAGGGGAGAGGAAATCTATTCGGTCAAAAGATTTTCTGTTCCCCTAACAATGCCCACAGCTCACACACCTCATTGCTACATTAGAATGTCATTTGATTCATACATGTGTTGAAAACACAATATTAAATTAGGAATAATATTATATTATATTATATTTAATAATAATAATAGCAATAGTAATAATATATTCATAACCATCCTTAGAAGTATTTACATTTATCATTCTCTTTATACAATAAAAAGTCTCAAAGTGACTTGACAAGGTAAAATGCAACACATAAAAGCAATTTAAAGCCATAGAAAATTAACTATACAAAAGACATAAAATGCTCATCCAGCAACATATTAATAAGGGCAAGCCCTACTAACCCCACTAAAATATGAGCACAAGAATAGGAGGCAGCATTAATGATTGCAAAGGTCTACGTAAATGAAAAGACTGACAGGGATGTCACTAGGTACATCTTCCTGGTGAGGGGATCCCACAGAAATCTAAATGCTGACTTCCCCGCTGCCAAGGTGGGAGTCGGGAGCAGCTCAGCAATAACTCACAAGCTGTCAGTGAAGTTAACTCTTTATTCAAAGAAACAAAACAGCTCAGGCCTAGTGCTCACAGCAACTCTTCCTCTTCCCCTTCCTTCCTTCCCAAGCAATCTCAGGCTCCTTCGTCTCATCTCTCATTGCTGCTCCCTCTTCATACCTCTTCCAGTTCTGGGAGACCAGGAAGCAGAGGAACTGGTCACAGGAGTGGGAGACCCTCTGGTTTCTTCAGCAGCCCACCTGATCTCTGTCTTTTGGTCCCCCTCCTCTCCAGCTTCCACTTCTACTACCCCTGATTCTGGACTGCTCTCTGCCACAGCCTCTTCCTGCTCACTAAACCCTGTTACCTCTTCAGTTTCCTACACATCCTCCTCCCAGTCTGCTCCCTCTTCTCCCTCTGACCACTCATTGTCGCCCCACCACCAATCTCCTAGCTCTGAGCCTTCTTCCCCTGGAGGTTCCCTTGGGGATTCCCCAGCTGGTGCCTCCCCCAGCCAGTGAATGACATTTGTCCTCTCAGCTACAGGATATCTTGCCAGGTACAGGCAAGATACACATGCTACTTAAACTAATCTATGAATGCACAGCTGCTGGTGGGCTATTTGCTTCTTTCCTGCTCCAGCTATTGATGTGCTGCTGAGAGTGAAATCGTGATTTGGACAGGTGTGGCTTCTTTCTGAACCTGCCTGGTGGTTTAAGAAAAACAAAGAGCAAGCAAAGAGAAATTCCTGCCATTCATGGCTCATTTGGGAGCAACCCAAGTTCAGAAGTAAAGCAAAGCCAGGCTATTACTTAGCTTCCAGCATTGTGGCAGCAGCAGGAATAAAATAGGACTAAAGTCACAGTCCCATCCAGACCAGATTTCAGTTTACACCAGGGGTCAGCTAACTTTTTCAGCAGGGGGCCAGTCCACTGTCCCTCAGACCTTGTGGGGGGAGGCAGACTATTTTTTTTGGGGGGGGGATGAATGAACTCCCATGCCCTACGAATAACCCACAGATGCATTTTAAATGAAAGGACACATTCTACTCATGTAAAAACATGTTGATTCCCGGACTGTCCATGGGCTGGACTGAGAAGGCGATTGGGCCAGATCCAGCCCCGGGCCTTAGTTTGCCTACCCATGGTTTACACAGTAAACAGCCAGATGCCTATGGGAATTGTTCTAGAACCCACCATTTCAGTAGCATGTACGATCACACTGTACATTCACATTTAAACCATAGTTTGATTTAACCATGGTTTAAAATGATTATCCAATAATGTTGCAGAAGGAACTGCCAATTGAGTGTGCATTCCCAAGCAATTGTTACAAATATCCTAGTATTTAGAGTTTTGTGTTGGAGAACAAAGAGAATGAATGACTAAGTGACACAACCAAGCCATAGGTTTTAAATATCACTCTGTAATATGCCAAAACCAGCCTAGAAAAAGTAATGCAAATAAGAGACTATGTTGCAATTGTTCCTATTCAATAGAGTGGGGAAAGCTATAAAACCAATAAACCCTTTAAGGATGGATACAACTCCTCACAGGAAGGAACCAAGAACATATCTCCCACCTAAAAACAACAAATTCAGAACAATAGGAAGAAAAAGTATAGTAGCAGTAAGCAATAAAATGAATGATGCAAAGATGGGGAATATATTGATTACAGTTACATACATACGGTCATCAGAAAGTTTCTGAGATGGATGTATTTTAAAGCTGATGCTGTTTGATAATATAAAAACCTGAGATGTAATGCCAGCAATTATGAGGTCTCCTGATTGATAATATTGGTGAAGAATAGGAAGAGGGTCTAAGATGGAGCACAGAGCAATAGAAGCCTTACACATAGCCTGTGGCAGCAACGCTAATACCAAGATAACAAATAGTACCATCTTGCAGAAAGCCTTCATTTTTCAAAAAAAATCATTGTTTTCCATACTGTTGTTAGAGGGACCGCGATTAGCAAAGCTGCAGTGGAATGACTGCTCATTCAGCAGATGTAAAGTCAGAAATATTAAACGTAAAGAATGAATGTTTAGACTGACAGAGTTCTGTTAACCTACAGGTTCTGAATAGAATATATTAGCAACAGGTTTTAGTAGCAATTTTTTCTATTCATAGTTTTGCATGTAGCTACTGGAACTCCCTAGGGATGGGGAGAATGTATTGAAGTTATTATTATGGTTAATTGGACAATTAAACGAGAGATCACCACCTACTATTAGTTCTTGGTTCTTGACAACGTTGGAGACGAAAAACAAAAGATGTTTATCACACCTGAGCTAAACTTGTCTTGGTAATTCTTAGTGAAAGAGCAAGAAAATAACAATGAACTACAGAGTATTGCACATGCATGAACACGTGTGTGTCAGGTTCCAGATAACAGGCCTTAAATAAAATGTGTCAGAAGTTATTAAAAATGACTGGATAAAGTTTTGCACACATTCCTAAATGGGGCCAATTTCTCAAACTGCCTCATATCAAAAATTGCCTATGGAAGATCAGATGGTTTTTCATCTGGCCCTGAGCTGTAAAAGATTCCCCTTCCCCGCTCTATCCTATGAAATTAAATGTATCTGTTATACGAGGGCATTCTTGGTTTTCTCTATTTGTTGTTATAGCTTGCTCAGCTTGGTTTGGTGATCTGGGAACTCTGTGTAAAACTTAGAATCATAGAATTGTAGAGTTGGAAGGAACCAACAAGGGTAATCTACTCCAACTTTTTTTCAAAGGCTTGTTTTTCCTCCTCCTGGGATAGTCAGAGCAGTAGCAATGCTAATAAATGGGTTTTAGATCTTGCCTGAATATAAACCAGTTTAATTTACACAGGCTTACTTTTAGCCAGCCGTTTTGCCAATTAACTCTGCAGGTTCTTTAAATGATCTTTGGTAGTCAGTATGAGGGAAAATAGGGACGCGGGTCTAAACCACAGAGCCTAGGGCTTGCCGATCAGATGGTCGGTGGTTCAAATCCCCTCGACGGGGTGAGCTTCCGTTGTTCAGTTCCAGCTTCTGCCCACCTAGCAGTTTGAATGCATGTCAAAGTGCAAGTAGATAAATAGGTACCACTCTGGCAGGAAGGTAAACAGCGTTTCTGTGCGCTGCTCTGGTTTGCCAGAAGCAGGTTCGTCATGCTGGCCACATGACCCAGAAGCTGTCTGCGGACAAACGCCGGCTCCCTTGGCCATTAAAGTGAGATGAGTGCGCAACCCCAGAGTTATTCATGACTGGACCTAATGGTCAGGTGTACCTTTACCTTTAATTAAAATATTTTTTCATTTGAACAGAATAGGAAAACCTCCTCAAACAGCAATCAACCTCCCTCCCCTCAAACAGGAAAACCACTGCAGCCAATTTCATCAAATACAGTTGTTGTTGTTATAAAGTTGTAAAGCAGGGATAGGCCACATAACCATCGGACAACCTCCTGGGAGCCAAATTGCAGTTGTGGACAGGGCCAAGGGCAAAAGTGGAAAGAACTATTTATAGCTTGCCTAGGAAACCACTGTAAGCAAATTAAAACCCTAACTGGACTCTAAGAAACACTTGTGAAGTAACGAAGATTATGGATAATTTGGAAAAATGAAAATTGTGGAGAATGTACTGCTATGTAGTTTTAAATTCTGTTTTAAGGACCCATGTAGGGGATGGGGGGGGGGAGTCACGAGATCCAGAGAATCTCACAAAATGATTATACAAACTGTTTGAATGATAAAAATAAATAAAAATATTTTCAAAAAAGTGGGAAGAGGTGCAAATCTAAATTTTACTTTTCTACAGAACTGTGGTTTATACACATGCTCATGTAACCCTTTATTTCCTCTATCTAGAAAATTGAGAAACATTATTAGACCTCAAGGAAACACTGCAACCTAGCAAAAAAAGTCAAGGAGGGTCAAGCAAGGTCACTGAGTGGTGTGTGGCAGGACACAGGAATAGTCTGGGCAGAGATCCACAAGGCAGGTAAAGAATCCTGGAGGATTGTTTTGGTCCCCAAACTGATGTTCCACATCACAGTTATATATGATGCTTTACTGGGGGGGGGGGGACAGTACATAACACCTCAGCATGACAGAGACATGTTGATTCTTCAATTCTTTCTTCTTATCAGTTTCTCTTTGCTGTTCAATTCTGGCCTCAGCAAAATAACAAAGCATTTAGGGAAAAAGATACAGCCCAGTAATCCAAAACTAGAGGACAAGATGGAGAAGACCTCCACTGCCACCATGTATTTCCCCTTGGTACTCAGGTAGGTTGGAATAAAGGACAACCAAACACTGCAAAAGACCAACATGCTGAAGGTGATGAACTTGGCTTCATTAAAACTGTCGGGTAACTTCCTAGCCAGAAAAGCCACCGTGAAGCTGACAATAGCCAGGAAACCCATGAATCCCAGGGCACAGCAAAACATTATAGTTGAAGCTTCGTTACATTTTAGTACAATTTCTTGAGTCATTGAATGCATGTCAAAATCTGGGAATGGGGGAGAAGTTATCAGCCAAATCATACAAATACCAGCCTGAATAAGGGAGCAGCAAAAGACAATGCAGCTAGATAGTCTATTGCCTACCCATTTCCTCATCCTAGACCCTGGCTTGCTGGCCATGAATGCTAGAACCACAATGGTGGTTTTGGCCAATATGCAAGAAACTGCCACTGAGAAAATCATGGCAAAAGCAGTTTGTTGAAGGAGGCACGTTAGCTGTACAGGCTGGCCAATGAACAACAAAGCAGAAGAGAAAGCGAGCAAGAGGGAGATGAGGAGAGCATAGGTGAGGTTCCGGTTGTTGGCCTTGACTATGGGAGTATCCCTGTACTTAATGAAGATTTGAAGCACCAAAGCTGTGATGAAAGAAAAGGTGAGATCAAGAGTAGCCAAACTGCTCCCCAGAGGTTCTTCATAAGACAAGAAGGTTATTTGTTTCGGAAGGCATCCATTCTGGTAAATGTTTGAATACTGGTCTCCAGGGCATTCAAAACAGTCATCCATGTCTGAAAAAGAAAATGTTGTTTTCTATACAAGTAAGTGCCCACCCAGCAAACTTTGACTTAAAAAGTAAATGACATACTTCTCAATGGTAATATCAGACAGTATATAATCCACCTCCATACACTGTACACATTATGGAAATTAAGTTCTGGTGTGTACCTAAGAAATAGTAACATAGCTACTTAGCATAAAATAAATCTCCTACCCGTCTGGTTTGAGATCTTCTCTTCTGGACATGGGAGGCAATCATAGCAGCAAGATGGCTGCCCTTCCTTCTTGGTTCTACTATAACCTGAAAGGCACTTCTCATTGCACTCAGAAAGGGGCTTTACCTGTCCATAAATGAAAGAAAAGAAGGGTTGGTAATCTGCAGCTCACATAACAACCCCATGATAGATTAAATCTACATTTATGCCATAGGTAGCTTGCCATATGGCAATGTGAGAGTGCTTTATTTGCAACAAACTCCAGTACTGGAATCAGTACCTCTACCATTTCTCCTACACCTTTGTTTTCATGAAAACCATTTTGGTAAATGTTTCAACAGCACCAACTTTTAGAAGTCCAGAGTCTTATGAACTAGAAGACATTCAAGTGAAAGCTTAATAGTTTAGCTAATGCTTTTATCATGGGGGTATTCAAGGGTACGCAGTACCAGAACCATTTTTTTCTAGAAGAAAAGCACTGAGTTCAACGTATTATATATAGAGAAACCATTAAGGTTTGTTTTGTTTTGTTTGCATTATTCATTGCTCTTTATGCAATCTCTTAGAAAACACTTGAGCTTTCAAATGAGGCTTCTTTGAACACTGGCTTTGGATCACGGTAACTGAGAGACTGATGTAAAGGAATGAGACTTGAATGTTGGCCGTAACGTAGGGTAACAATGAGAAGGGTCTTCTGAATTTTTTTTTAAGCATTTTATAAACATTCTAATCAACTGTCTTTTTGGCTTGTTTGAATCTCATAGAACCAGTGAGCTATATTTTGCAATTGTGACATCTATGCAATTAGTCTTAGGAAGCGGACCAGACAAAACTTAGGCAAAACTACTCTTTGAATGTTTTTGTAACATGGTGGATCCATGGCAATGATCTGCTGCTGTCATTATATGGATATGCTAATTAACAGAGCTTTGGGGGCTTCTCTGTATATTAGGGGTCAATTCAACACATTCTATACCTTTCCTGCAATATAAATATCCCTCTAGCTATTTTTATACAATACTATTAAAGCCTACCCCGTTCCTGGTTCCATGTGGGTAATAATAATAATAATAATAATAATAATAATAATAATAATAATAAATTAATAATAATAATTTATTATTACGGTCAAAGACCAGTTCAAGAAGCACAATTGAGACTACTTTCATAAAAGTGAAATAGACATTTAAAACAGTATACAATAACACCTTATAGATTAAAATTGAAATAGTCGTATGTACATGAAAAGACCTAAAATTAGACAAACATGCAGATTGACCCTGGGACACCCAGGAGGTCAGCTATGGCAGTTTTCCGGGGGGTGTTCTGCATCTACAAATCTGTACGCAAAATCTGGCGACCATCCAGGTCGCCTTGTGATTTTTGCCTAGCAGGAGAAAATTGAGTTTTGGCTTGTCCAGAAGGTCAGTAAGCCTTACCAGATGGGGGTCGATGGTATCTCTACTGCCTCATTGTAAAAAGGACATCTAAAAAATAAGTGTTCAGGGCTTCCTATTTCCCCTAATGGGCAGGCGCAAAGTCTCTGGGTGTACGGGACTTTTCCAAAAGATACTTCCAGAACCGGCGAGGGCAGAGCCAAACTTTTGGCGAGAGTAAAGGCCCTTCTTGCATTTCTGGATACAAGGAAATGGAGGTATGCTGCCGGGACAGTGACATATCTCTCGTGCTCTGCAATTATGTAATCAGGGGACCTCAAGCAGTCCTGCTGTCTCTCTATGACCATAATTCTTTGTCTGACCACGGATCTTACTTGATCCAATCCCAAATTTAAGATGGCTTGAGGAGCAAGACCCAATTTCTCCAGAGAGTTCAGGACCGCTATCTGCCAGCCAGACTGGAAACGATCACAAAGAATCAGTGGAGCTATACCTTGGGGGAGCAATTTCAATGTCAACCACTATAGATTGATGTTAAGCTAATATGAGCCTTGACTCTCATCATCCCCATTTCTAATCTAACCCGTGCATTTGAAACGCATCTGGGGACTTGTAAGAGGGCTCTGAGAAATTTAGATTGAACTCTCTCAAGAAGAGTGAAAGAAGAGGATGGTGGGCCCAAAAAGGATCCATAATGGAGCTGTGCCAATGTTTTGGCCTTATATAATTTTAGGGCCTTATATAATTTTACTTCTAAGAAATTTGAGGATACAGTTAGCAGATCTTTCTCTAGCACTCCCGATGGAATTAATATGAATTTTATTGGTTCCTGAGGCCTGGACCGCCACTCCTAGATACTTATAGTTCAAAACCTGTGGGTATTTTAGAAATCATCTGCACAAATCTACGTGAAACTGTTTAAAAATTCACTCATGGCTTCTATTGTTTGCTTTAAAAATTATTTACAGCCATTTATAAGTTATTTGATTTCAACTTACAATGTATTTTATATACATTGCTATATATAATTCCTTCTATCAGTCATGGGATGTCATCAGGACCTGCAAGTCCCTGAAGATTTGCTTTCTTCTCAAGACATGGGAAAGCAGAACTGCCATGCATTAGGCAGTCACATGTTGGTGACTGTAGCTGCTTTTTAGAAAGAAAAAGAAAAGAAATACAGGCAGTTATCCAACATCATATGTGAGACATAAGGTAAGTGGTTCATCTGAGTATTCTGAAGACCAGTTGCTGGAAACTACAGGAAGGGAGAGTGTTATTGTGTGCAAGTCCTCTTTCTAGCTTCTCATAAGCATCTGGTTGGCCATTGTCAGAACAAGATGCTGGACTAGATGGGCCATTGGTCTGATCCTGCTGACTTATAGGTCCTTCCATTATGATTTGTTTTCACTGGATTTCCTACCATGTTGGTCCCCATATGCCCCCAACACTATTATAATATCTTATTTTGGTGGTAATTTTGATTAGTGTAATGGCTTTATATTCCCATAGCTACATCTAGTTTGATCTGAGTATGGATGCTTTAATATATTACAGTGAAATTGCTATGGCCCACTGGAAAAAATATCAGCGGACTTTCTGAAATGGAACTTACCTGGTTAAATCTCTCTGGCCACATGATGGCATCATCATGAATGGTTAACCACTCGTCCAGAGGAGCCTGGGAATCCAGCCTTCCAACTTTGACTCTAAGAAATGACTCGTTTGGGAATGTGATCCAGTTGATAATATCAAATCCAGATACTAATTGTCCATTTTGGTCAAATGAAACTTCTTCTCCAGCACTATTATTAAACGATACACTTCTCAGAATGTGGTGGAGCTATATAGGAAGTGGGAGAGAATTCACGAATATGTGCCCAAACACAATGACATTGTGATTATATTTCATGATTGATATAATGGTTTGTTGTCTGTTTAAAAGCTGTCTGTCTGTCTCTCTCTCTCTCTCTCTCTCTCTCTCTCTCTCTCTCTCTGAGCCCCTTCTTAGATAATTGAGGTTGCTGAAAGAGGGGGAGATATTTATGGGTATATAATGTTGGGCGTATAAAAAAAATATAAAATATATAAAATATATAAAAATATATATAAAAAATATAAAAAATGTTGGGTGTATATAAAAAGGGTGATAGTGTTGATTCTTTTAAGCAATATGATCTACTTGAATGTTCATTTGTTTTTATTTCCAAAACGAACCTCAAAGGTCAAACAGGACATTCTTTCAGATAGATGGGCCCTAAGCTTTTTAGGGTGCTACTCTCCGGATATGACCAGAAGTAAGTAAAATGTTTGTGAACATTTTTCGGAAGCCGAACATCCGATGGCTTGAGTGCAGGAAGCTCCTGCAGCCAAGTGGAAGCCGCACCTAGGTTTTTGAACAGTTTTGGGAGTCGAACAGTCTCCTGGAATGGATTAAGTTTGAGAACCAAGGTACCACTGCAGTAGTTTCCTATAAAGCCGTAAATGGTTCAGGGATCTCAATATCTCAAGAACCGCCTCTTCACATATGAACCAACCCAGACCCTGCACTCATCATTGTAGACCCTACTTCTTGTGCCCACTCTATGAGAGGTCCAGAGGGTGGCAACAGAAGAACAGGAGTTTTCTGCAGTATTCCCTGTCTATTGAACACTCTCCTCAGTGTTGCTCACCTGGCACCATCACTATATATCTTTAGGAGCCAGCAGAAAACTGTCCTCTGTAACCACACATTGGGCCTTGAACTATCTGTGGCCTTTTAGAAGTGGGTGAGATATTTTTAATGTATTTCTTTTTCCTCTTGGTTTTAATGTGTCTATGTGGGGTTTATTGGATATTTGTTTGGTTGTAAGTTGCTTTGGGTTGCCTTGAGCATGATAGAGTTGTTGGCAATTTTAATTAATTAATTAATTAATTAATTAATAATAATAATAATCCTTTAGCACAATATTTAGGGCTTCTTCACTTTCCTGGAATGTTTTCAAGAAACCAGGGCTGACTTCATATGAATTATGATATCATGGTACCCTATAACTAGCCAGATTTAGCAACAAACATCTGTATTATTTGGAATAGAACTTTACCTGCCATGGCTGTTGATTCAAAAGTTCCCACCTTACTGTACCTGCCATTCCTCTGTATTTTAATTTGGTGGAAAGCATGGTGTGCAAAGCATGTGCCACAACATATACAGAATTGTAGATGCTGTAGCTGTGGGCTGTCATGCTCATTTCAAAAACAGACCCAGGAAGGCTCTCGATATTCTCCTCCCCAGTGCAGATCTGTTCGTCTTTCTCCTCCAAAGTAGGATCAGTAAAATGACAATGAAATGCCTCTTCCCAGAAAAGCCTGACAAAGCCATCTTCTTTTTCCAAGATTGGGTTTCTCATCTGAATAAATTTCTGGAATCCTAGAAGATCCCTAGAATGAACTGCAAAGGCTAGAGCACCGTGGAGGAAAGCTATGTCCCAACCTCTTTGAATGGGAAAGGATGTGAAGTCCATCTGAGCTGTCATAATCCAGACTTTTGCCTTGCCTTCTATTTTTATGCCATTTGCTTCTGCAAGTGTGGGCATCATTCTCATTACCATAATTGTATGAATTTCACCATTCACAACTACAACATTTGTGGTGCTTCCCACAACAATGCTGATTGTTTTAGAACCTTCCTCCACCAGGTCATCCAAATCATCAGAAAAAGATACCTTAGGAAAACTTTCTATAAAATCAAAGCAGATGCCCTTCTCGGCAAACATGGGAAGAACGTTTTGTACAAATCTGTCTCCAGTGTCATCGTAGAGAAAAAGCACGCCAATCCACATCCAACTGAAATGCAGCAGTAGCTGGACGATCCCCTCATATTGTTGAACCCCATCTGGAAATATTTTATGGAAGAAAACTGCTTGCATGTCTTTATTCAAAATAGGCGAAGAGCCATAGATGAGCTAAAGACGATCATTTTATAAAGAGATAGGGAAAGGAGATACCAAATGTTGAGATCCAAATACCAAATAAACTCAAAACAAGATTTCAACTTTCAGTTAATGAGTATCAATTGACAGGGGCTATTCAATTTGTTATTTATTTATGTTGATTTGGAATCTGCAGATATAGACAGTGCTTTTTTTCTTAATAAATGTTTAGGGGTACTCTCATTTTGACTTAAGAAAATCACCATTTTATAGTTCAAATTGGGGGAAATAAATACTGTTAATGGGCAAAAGTATAAAGAACATGCACCACCTCATGTTACACAGCTGACAGCTCACAGTAACTTCCACATTGGCAAGAGGTTGTGTGCACTAACATAATAATAATAATAATAATAAATTTTATTTATATCCCGCCCTCCCCAGCCGAAGCCGGGCTCAGGGCGGCTAACAACACCAAATAGTGCGACATTATAAAAACATTATAAAAATTAATTAAAATCAAGATTGATGGCAGCCATAAAGTTTTGTAAAGGTTGCCAAAGGAGGGAGTCAGGCTGCGCCCTAACCAAATGCCTGGCGGAACAACTCTGTCTTGCAGGCCCTAAGGAAAGATGTCAAGTCCTGCAGGGCCCGTGTCTCTTGTGACAGAGCATTCCACCAGGTTGGAGCCGCAGCCGAAAAGGCCCTGGCTCTAGTTGAGGCCAGCCTAACCTCTCTGTGGCCTGGGACCTTCAAGGTGTTTTTGTTTGAAGACCGTAAGTTCCTCTGTGGGGCATACCAGGAGAGGCGGTCCCGTAGGTACGAGGGCCCTAGGCCGTATAGGGCTTTGAAGGTTAAAACCAGCACCTTAAACCTGATCCTGTACTCCACCGGGAGCCAGTGCAACTGGTATAGCACCGGATGAATGTGATCTCTAAGCGAAGACCCAGTAAGGAGTCTCGCTGCGGCATTCTGCACCCGCTGGAGTTTTTGGGTCAGTCTCAAGGGCAGCCCCACGTAGAGCGAGTTACAATAATCCAGTCTGGAGGTGACCGTCGCGTGGATCACAGTAGCTAGGTCAGGGCGAGAGAGGTAAGGAGCCAACTGCTTAGCTTGGCGGAGATGAAAAAATGCCACCTTTGTAATAGCTGCAATCTGCGCCTCCATGGAGAGGGAGGTATCGAAGATTACACCCAAACTCTAAACGGACGGTGCTGGCACTAATTGCACCCCCGCAAGAGATGGGAGTTGCCCCCTCATTCCCGTATCATCCCGTCCCAGCCAGAGGACCTCTGTCTTCGAAGGATTTAACTTCAACCGGCTCCCACGTAACCATCCAGCCACAGCTTCCAAGCATCTGATCAGTGTGTCTGGGGCCGAGTCAGGATGGCCATCCATCAGCAGATAGAGTTGGGTGTCATCAGCATACTGATGGCAGCCCAGCCCAAAACTCCGGACAAGCTGGGCGAGGGGGCGCATAAAGATGTTAAAAAGCATCGGGGAGAGAATCGCACCCTGAGGCACTCCACACACCAAGGAGTGGCGCGATGACAATTCCCCCCCAAGCGCCACCCTCTGTCCCCGACCAGAGAGAAACGAGCGCAGCCATTGAAGGACTGTGCCCTGGATCCCCACGTCGGCAAGGCGGTGGTCCAGAAGTTCGTGATCGACCATGTCAAAAGCTGCTGACAAGTCTAGAAGAATCAGCAGCCCCGACCCGCCTCGATCCATCTGTCTACGAAGATCATCTGTTAGGGCAACCAGAGCCGTCTCGGTCCCATGACCAGCGCGGAAGCCGGACTGGAATGGATCCAGAGCCGATGTTTCATCCAGAAACCCACCAAGCTGTTCAGCAACTGCTCTCTCAATCACCTTACCCAGGAACGGAAGATTCGAAACCGGGCGGTAATTGGATAGATCTAAAGGATCTAATGATGTTTTCTTTAAGAGCGGGCGCACCACTGCCTCCTTCAGTTCCCCTGGGAATGTCCCTGTGCCAAGGGACAAATTGATGATATCCCCCAGGAGAGCCCGCACCTCGTCTGGACACGCTCTAATCAGCCAAGACGGGCACGGGTCAAGAGGACAGGTGGTGGGCTTTCCAGCTCGGAGGAGTCTGTCCACATCGGCTGGGGATATCCGGTCGAAGTGGTCCAATACTGGACCCGAGGACAGTCGAGGGGCCTCCAGTTCCTTTATTGTATCCAAATTGGCAGGGAGGTCATGGCGGAGCAACAAGACCTTCTCCGCAAAAAAGCTCGCAAATGCCTCACAGCTGTGTGTCAAATTGTTATTTAAATTTGGCTGTCCTTCGAGGGACGTTAAAGACCGAATTATACTAAATAATTGTGCCGGGCGAGAGCTAGCGGATGCAATGGAGGCCGAGAAGTAGGACTTCTTAGCGGCCTTCACAGCCATCTCGTAGGTTTTCATAAAAACCCTATAAGATGTTCTTGAAGCTCCATCACGGGCACGCCGCCATACTCGCTCTAGCCGTCTGAGGTCCCGCTTCATTTTCCGGAGCTCCTCGGTAAACCAGGGAGCCCGGTTTCTGCGGGGTCGCAGAGGGCGCTTAGGTGCGATCTCATTGATGGCTGCCAGGAGATGGGTATTCCAGCCCTCAACAAGCTCAGTCAATGAGTCGCCAGGGGGAGAAAGGTCCCGCAAGGCTTGACGGAATCTATCAGGGTCCATCAGCCTCTGCGGGCGAGCCCAAATCGGCTCGCCACCTAAGCAGGGTGGGGGTGGAACGTCAATCCTGGCTTTCAGAGCGTAGTGATCAGACCATGGCACCTTCATCGAAGGACACATGATCACATCTATACCAGCGCCAAAGATCAAATCCAGCGTGTGGCCTGCCCTACTTACAACTCCCACTTCACATATTAAACTCTCACTTTCATCTGAGACTCAGGAAATACCATGACAGGAAAAGATGCCACCATTGGGGGTAGCAACGGAACTGATGATTCAACGTATTAGAGAAGAAACTAACTTTTTAAAAATAACAACAACAACAACAATTTCTTCTCCCATTAGATTCACAAAATGTTTAGGGGCATGCATACACCTGTGTCCTCCCAGAAAAAAAAGCACTGGATATAGATGAATGAATTTGCAAGAATAAATAAAAACAGGTTGCTATATGGAATTTAGTGGGACAACATCAAAATTTCATATCTGGAGCTCTGGGTGGGTGATGGCAGCATGGCGCAGCCATGGTGGGTTCTGAGAGGCCACCATCTTCTGGCATGGCCAGGGGAGGAGTTGGTCACCTGGTGCCAGCCTACTGCTGGCTGCATCAGTTTTGCCAATATGGGTGGGCAGGGCCCACAAGGCCAATCAGTGGCAGGGGCTTGGGAGCTGCGCCTAGCCCACCCCTGGCCTATTTAAGGGAGCAGCCAGATGTAGGGCACCCTCTTGGCTGATCGTCTCTGGAATTTTCACCTACCTAGTCTGTTAGGGGTTCACTGTGTGGGTGAGCAGGAGAGTTGCATATGGACCTTGCTATGGTTTACTCAATCACCATATTGAAGGCTATGGAGGAGTTTCCCCCTGCCAGCAAATTGGCCAGCTTGCAGGATTTCACCTACTTCATAACAATCATCACAACTTTGGCAGAGAAGGCACTAGGCTGGATTCTTAGTCACAGGGATAACCCATTAGAGGGGTCTAGGAGTGGTGACTCTGTCCAGGAGTCCACTGGGAGACTGATGGGCCAATACACCTCTCCCAATGGCAGTCTGTGTGGGGTTATGGCACCTAATCCACGTTGCAATCGACTCCCCAACACAAGGTCAATGCCACCAGATTCATATCAGGTAGCAGGTGGACTGCCTGATGCTGGACACACACCCAATGCCTTAGCCAAATCTACTCTGTCCTGGAATCAATAAAGCTGTGACCTAATGCAACCCAATACCAGTCTACTGTGTCCATTCTTGTGGCTCTCCCTGGAGCTGCCACAGCTGTTATGTGCCTGTAACAGCAAACCATTGTGGAATTATTTCATGCTTGATCTACATGTTTAGTCCATATAATGTCTCCACAGTTCATATGATTCTTCATTATAATGTTCAATGAGGAATGATTCCATATGTTCTGTCTACATGGGGATGTTTCAGTATTTGCATGTCCTTCAATAATTTATGGAGCCAAGTTAGAAAAATCTCCCACTGCCTATTTTTTGCCTGTACTCTGACTTTTGCCAATTTCTCTTGCAACCAGTCGGAAACTGCGCCTCGGCTTTCAAACACTTCGGAAGCTGAACGGGCTTCCAGAATGGGTTATGCTTGACAACTGAGCTTTGACTGTGCCTTCATTTGCTGGTCCTCTAAATCTCAAACATGGTGAATCCCTCATTCATTCAAGTACCCACATTGAGTCTGATTATATTTGTAATTGGCTTCCTTATGACCCATCAGTAATAAACCCAAGTACACATCTTACTTGTGGCATCTTGTAGATGCAGAGGATTGTTGCCATGTCAAGGCCTACTTCAGAGTTCGATCCTCCAATGACTGCAACTGGGGTGTTCACCACATCACACTTGTAGTTAGGGATGAGTCGTCCTTGTCTAGAGAGAAGTTCCATGGAGGCTTGATAGGTCCAGCTTGCACTGAAATGGCTATTATAAATGTGAAATCCTAGAGTGACGTTGGGTAAGATTTGGGGATTTCCACTGATCTCTTTTACAGCAAATGCCATGGCCAGGATATGCTGGTAGAGATGTGTCATTGGCCTGTAATGAGAACTACATATTAAACAACAGCGCATCTTCACGAATCGTAGAATTGTAGAGTTGGAAGGGACCCTGAGAATCATTTAGCCCAGTGATTCTCAAACTTGAGTCTCCATCTGTTTCTGAACTACAATTCCCATCATCCCTGAAAACTGGTCCTGCTAGCTAGGGATGGTGGGTGTTGTAGCCCCAAAACAGATGGAGACCATTGTCTGAGAACCACTCATTTAGCCCCACCCCCTGCAATGCAGGAATATGCAGCTGTCGTATAAAGGGATCAAACCTGCCACTTTGGCATTATCAGCAACAACACCCTATTATTTGTCCATAGTACAGGGAAGTATGTGAGAATATATTGAAACACAAACCTGCGCATTTTGCTTTCCTGAACAGCCAGCTCATGGCATTACTTTTAATTCTGATAACTAGAACCATCCCTCACTATCAGCTTCCAGAAAACTCAGAAAGGGGAATGTATTTTTTTACAGGTTGAACCTCAAAATAAACTTAGGTTGTAGCCAGGGAAGATTCCTCTGATGGAAGAATCTGTGCCTGATTCTTTGGAATATTTCATAGGTGTAAGGGACACTATAATTATCATTATCAAATTAGAAGGCAAATAAGCCACTGAGATATTATGTTGGTGACTAGAAGTTCCACAGATTTATCACACAACTGAATTTGCCATATACCCCTATTTTGTGCTCCTCTTTGCAAAATGTAAGCAGTTGTTGACAGTACTGCTGCTATTATATTTGCGGCCACTACTACTAATATCAGATTTTGAAATGAGTAGAAAGATTATCCAGTCTTCTGAGTATTGTTCAAAGCTGATCATGAAATCACCTCCAGGTTTGAGTGGCTAATCGCTTTGCAATGATAAAAGTTAAGTGTGAAATCTAGAAATACAAATATTACCACGGCAAATCACAAGAAAGCCTTAAGAAACTGGATGTGGGTGCTATGGTTTTTTCTGCCTCATGATCATTTAATGATGATGAAATGCTAGTTTTAGATCTCATTATAACCAGAAATTCTTAAACTAAGATGAACAGACCCTGCCTAAATTCCACCCCCACCCTTCATAAAAATCAGGACTGAAGGAAAAGACTCCTGGCAATTATCATAATGATCATCACCCTCATCATATGGCGAATGCAGATATATATTCATTACAGAAAGATCCTATGGTTTTAAACTCACATGCTCACATGCTCACACAAACAATTCCTTACATAATGTCCTCAAGGAATTCAGGAGAGGGTGGTATATTGAAGGCTACACTTGAAGTTATATAGATTTGAGAAATAATGCCAGCAACAACGATGTCTCCGGACTGATAATATTCATGAAGAATAGGAAGAGGATGCCTGATGGAACATTGAGCAATCGGAATGTTGCCCTCATTTAGAGAAAATAGCATTAATTTCAATACTGCATAGAGTACCAGCTTGCAGGATTTTGGGAGGAAATAATTCCTCTCTTTGCACACTGCCATTTGAGTGTTCTTGAGCAGTAACAAGTCACTAGAATGGCCACAAAAGCCAGATCTCCTGAGTGTAAAGACTCATTGATCAGACTGACGGAGCACTGAGTGTCTGTCTGCCTAAGCTTGAATATCACAGGGCATATTAATCTTCCAGTCTTAGCTCATAGTTTTCCATGTTGGTACTGGAACCCTCTAGAGATACAGAGAAGTAGTGATTGTGATTAATTTGATGATTTCAGAAAATATAATTCCTAGTAATTACTCCCTATAACATGGCAAAAGAAAAATATTTGTCACATCCCGGCAAAAGTTTCAGCTGGTCCTCCTAAGTATGGAGAAAGCTCTAATGAGCATCAGCACACAAACTAGAAAATAACTCAGAAAGCTGATATCTTAGAAAGGAAATATATCTTATAGAATAGCAACTTCGCTGGTAACTATTGATGTAAAAACTCGTGTGCAACTTATGAACATTGCCAGTTTATCAAGACTGCAAATACATCAGCTATTCAAATGAAAACTTCTATTGTCTGCAAGTAATCAGTTTCCCAGTAAGCTACAGTTTCAGAAATTCATTGTTTTCTGTGTCCTGTTTTTTAAAAATATAGTAAAATAGTTGTAATTATTTTTACATATCCATCACAAAAGTTTCGGTCCAGAAAAATAAAAACTCTCAGAAATGAGCACAATAGGGGCAGCTCAGTGAAGAGTGAACATAAAAGTTTTCTAATGCATCTTAAGCTCACAGGAATCATTAAACTTCAATGACTTTTTTTACCCCACCCCCAAAATTTATTTGATACCACATTCAAGCCAAGTATTGGCTAGGATACTAATATACATTTCTCCATATTTGATGTTAATGACTCAGTTCTGCTCCCCTGTGTTGCTTGGATCATCTTTCCCCTAATGAAGTATTTATAGAAGAATATCAGCAACTTTCAGGGGATAATCAAACTTTAAGAGAAAAGCTTTTGGGTGAGCAATCTGTTTTTCATTAAAGATAAGATGTATCCTAAGTCACTCACAGATCAGACCCACTGATGATCAATGGACAATACTAAATTAAAAGTCTATTGGCCAGCTCTAGAATACCCTGATAAAACCCAAAATAATCTCCAAGTGTTTTGAAGGAAGGGAAGGGAAGGGAAGGGAAGGGAAGGGAAGGGAAGGGAAGGGAAGGGAAGGGAAGGGAAGGGAAGGGAAGGGAAGTGCTGCTGGATAAGACCAAGGGCCTATGTTGTCCAACATTTTGTTTTCAGAGTGGCCAACCAGTTGCTCCTCAAAAGCCCTCAAGGAGGACATATTGCCTCTCATATTGGAGAAAATATAGAAAATGCCAGGGTAGGAAACCTGCAATGTAGCTCACAGGTTAGGCTTGTAATCAGAGAGAATATAATACTTTCAGGAGAGGATGTTGACATAAATGGACAGACAAGCTCTTATGATTATTTATTTATTTGTTTGTTTGTTTGTTTATTTAATAATATATTGTTTATTTTCTACAGAACAGTATGTGTGTGTGATCTCCTTAAATGTATCACTCATTATTAATTGCATACTTTTGAGTGGAAAAAGATTTAGTTAACATTGTACACATTGATTCTCTAGTCATTTCTTCTAATTAGCTGCCCCTTGTTGTTCAACTCAGGTCTCATCAAAATGACATAGCATTTCGGAGAAAAGATGCAGCCCAGTAACCCAAAACTGGAGGACAAGATGGAGAAGATCTCCACTGCCACCATGTATTTTCCCTTTGTGCTCAAGTAGGTTAGAACAAAGGATAACCACACACTGCAAAAGACCAACATGCTGAAGGTGATAAACTTGGCTTCATTAAAACTGTCCGGTAGCTTCCTAGCTAAAAAGGCCACTGTGAAACTGACAGCGGCAAGGACACCCATAAATCCCAAGACACAGTAAAACATGATAGTTGAACCCTCATTACATTCAAGCACAATTTCTTCAGTCATCGAGTGCATGTCAAGGCCTGGAAATGGGGGAGAGGTTACCAGCCACACACTACAAATTGTAGCTTGAATAAGGGAGCAGGAAAGAACAATGGAGGTAGCCAATCGTTTCCCCACCAATTTCCTTACCCTAGATCCTGGTTTGTTGGCCATGAAAGCTAGAACCACTGTGGTGGTTTTGGCCAGAATAGAAGAAACGGCCACTGAGAAGATCATGCCAAAAGCAATTTGTCGAAAGAGGCATGTAAACTTCTCAGGCTGGCCTATGAAAAGCAAAGGGCAAAGGAATGAGAGCAGGAGTGAGATGAGGAGAGTATGGGTGAGGTTCCGATTATTGGCTTTGACTATGGGAGTTTCTTTGTGCTTAATGAAGATCCAGAGCACCCAAGCAGTGACGAATGACAAGAGTAGAGTACAAACAGCCAAACTAACCCCCAAAGGTTCTCCATAAGACAAGAAGGTTATTGCTTTCATAATGCATTCATACTGGCCATTGTTTGGATATTGATCTTCAGGGCATTCAAAACAGTCATCTATATCTGGAAAATAAAAGAGTCATTTTTAAGCATGGAAACTCTGGTTAAAAGCAAGCATAACATTATGATAGCTTTAAATGACTGCTTCTATGGTGCTATTGAAATACATGACTGATTTCTTCTCAGGACGTTGTGTTCAAGAGAACCTTAACAAGCTACAGCCCTTACACCTATTGCACCTATTGGGACCAACTGGTCTTACAATAAAGATTATTTCCCAAGATATAACTAAACAAAAGGTATCAATTCCTTTCTCATCTCTAGTTTTGCTGAAATTCTTCCCCCAGACCTATCATAAATTTGAAAACTTCTGCACCAAAGTGGACCCACGTCAACAGTAATATGAGACAACAACATATTATCTGCCCTGTTCTTACACTTAAAACATCAAGGAAACTAGTTTCTGGTATAAATTTACTAGATCATATCTGGCATAATTTATAAATAGTGTACACAAAAAAATCTTACCCTTCTGGTTAGAAATTCTCCCTTCTGGACATGGAAGGCAATCATAGCAGCAAAATGGCTCTCCTTCCTTTTTGGTCCGACTATAACCTAAAAGGCAATTCTCATTACACACAGAAAGGGGTTGTACCTGTCCATAAATGAAAGAGGAAATAATGTTGAAGTGTGTCACTCATTGACCCATCTTTAGATAACTACAGTTTATTGGTTGATACTGTGGAGGCTAGAGTTATTGCTTTTGTTTGTTATTGTGTTGTGTGTTTTGTAGTAGACTGCCCTGTGATCCCTTTCACCTCCAGTAAAAGCCGCCGTATTGGAATCTTTGTCATTTCTCCAGCAACTGTGCCCTCATAAAAACCGTTATCATAATCATATTGATTATACAACAACTCCCTCAAAGCTACCACAGTGTATTATCAGTCACATCTGAATGATATTTTCCAAAATTCTCTGCCTTTCATGCAATCTCTCCATATTGCATCCTTGCAGAATTAGCCTCTGCTTTACTATCTTTATATTTTTCAATTTAGTTTTATTTTCAGCTACAACCTTTGCTTGGTCAGTTTCTCAACATATTAGTTTGCAACTAGGGGTCCTGATATTATCGACTTAGAATGTTATTAGTTCAGAGACCAAAACAGTGGGAAACAATGTTGCTTGCACCATTTCCATAATACAGTGGAGCATCTTGGAAGCTGAACGTTTCTGAAGCTGAATGCCAAAAACCTGAAAGTAATCACATCCGTTTTCGAATGCGCCTCGGAAGTCGAACAGCTACCACTGCATGTTTTTCTTTTTTCTCAATGGATTTTGCCAACCACCCATTGCTCCTCAGTTTTTGAACATTTCAGAAGTTGAACGGTCTTCTGGAACTTATTATGGTCGAAAACCGAGGTTCCACTGTACCAGAAATGAGTGATATGGATCTACTGTACTTTTCTTTATTTCTTAAGATAATTGTAATGAACTAATGGCTGACCTATAGAACTTTTTTGAATGTTACCTTTTCCCCAGTCTAAATCCTCTACCACCTTAGTTGGCTATAGCTGACTATTTGCCCCTATATGTTCCCATCACCGAAAGAAATTGCTCTACATCAAGGCAGGCCTGGGATCACGCCTTTCACATCATAATCTCACTGAAGCAGTTTTGCATACACATCTGAAGTTCACATGAAGCAGACCTTACCTGGTTGAACTGGCTAGGCCACACAATGGCATTATCATAAATGGTCAACCCTTTTTTGAGAGGAGCCATTGGGTCCATCATTCCAACTTTGACTCTAAGAAATGACTCATTTGGGAAGGTGACCCAGTTGATAATATCAAATTCAGTTTTTAATTGCCCATTCTGGTCAAAAGAAACCTCTTTCCCAGCACTATTGTTAAAGGAGACCCTTCTCAGAAATCCGTGGAGCTAAATTGTGGGAGGAGGGAAGGAATTAATATAGTATCCAAATATTTGAAATATTACAAAATGGTGGTTGTTGGTTGCATTTGAGGGTTTTGGATTATCACCTACAGTGGAACCTCAGGTTAAGAACTTAATTCGTTCTGGAGGTCTGTTCTTACCCTGAAACTGTTTTTAGCTAATGGGACCTCCCACTGCCGTCGCGCTGCCAGCGTGCAATTTCTCTTCTCATCCTGAAGCAAAGTTCTTAACCCAAGGTACTATTTCTGGGTTAGTGGAGTCTGTAACCTTGAGGCGTCTGTAAGCTGAAGAGTCTGTAACCCGAGGTACCACTGTACTTAAAAGCAGAATGTGTCAAGGAGGGGGTCGCTTTCCAAAGTCCTCCCTCCAAGCTTCTGATAACTCACATGTCACCACTGAACGGTTTATCAGGCTTTATTGGCGTCTTCTCTGGCACCAGCTACAGACATCAAACAGCAGTCTAATCTATGGCATGTTCTCTCCCCCTCTCAGCAGGTTAACTCAAAGATTTGAGAAATGCTGGCAGCCCGATCACTTGCTCCTGCTTTGAGGACTAATTAACACCTGCCTGAGGGGCCTTACCCAGCGATACTTGCTTACAGAATCACTCCTTCATAACAGTATTTATGTTTTATTTTTGTCCTTTTTGAATTAGGTACTGGGTAGAACCAAATATTATCTTTTCCCCTAAGGATGAATAAAGAAATGCAAGTATGGGACAGGGTGATAGTGTATCATAGTGAGGAATGGTTGCATTAAATACTTATGGAGAATGTCACAGTAGCTTAAAGTCCCTAAGTGGCGCCCAAGTTGCACTAGTGAGATGGCTGGTGCTGGTGGAGTGGCTCACGTGAGAAAAGGGCAGGAAGTCAGCATGGTTCTTGTCAGGGATGGCACATCCCATTTTGCTGTTTGAGGAGAAATGAGAATGCCACCATGTCCTGTTGCTGCTGCTGCGGCTGCCACCACAACATACCTACTCCTACTGCTGTTGCTGCCTGCTCTGCTATCACATACCCTGTATTATTATTATTATTATTATTAATTATTATTATTATTAACAAAATAATTATACAAAACTCAAAATGAGAACACAAAAGACATAATAAAAACAAGAACAAAAACAAATCAGTAATCCCCCTCCCACAAACACATTTAAAAGGACATAGAATGTGAATCAGCCAAAGGCCTAGAGAAATGAAAGACTGTTTGTAGATGTTTCTCTGACTATGGTCCATCATTTATTTTAATTTACTGTTTTGTGATCTCCCCTGCTCTGAACCCCACTGGATAATCATATTTCCTCCAAAAAATCAATCAAAGAAGAAAGGTGCTTTCCCCCCCCATGTTGTCAGGAGCTATTCCCCTTTCACGCAGTTTCAGAGTTTACTACAAACTTCTGCATTAGAGCTCAACAACTCTGGGGAATTCTCCCCTTCCACCCACCCACCCCCACCCACGCTCCTCTTCCCTCCAACGACAATGGGTAGATCACTGCCAGTTTTTATATACAGGGAGTAGATCACAGTCTCTTGGGAGTCGAATGTGCCTGGATTAGAGCATTACCTGCCATGGCTGTTGGTCCACGTAGGCTGATCTTATTCCATCTTCCATAGTCCCATGTTTGAATTTGGAGGAATGCATGGAATGCACAGCATGTGCCACAGCATATAGAGCGTTGTAGATGCTATAGCTGTGGGCAGTCATGCTCATTTCAAAAACAGACGCAGGAAGCGTGTCAACCCTCTCCTCCCCAGTGCATGACTCCTCATGTCTCTTATCCAAAGATGGTTTGTGAAAAGAACAGTTAAATGCCTCTTCCCAGAAAACTCTGATGAAGCCATCTTCTTTTTCTGAGGCAGGGCGTCGTCTCTGAATAAATTTCTGGAATCCTGTGATACCCTCTGAGTAAATGGCAAAAGATAGAGCACCATGGAGGAAACCTATGTCCCAACAGCTTTGAAAGGGATATGAAGTGAAATCCATCTGGGCTGTCATAATCCAAACCTTTCCTAGGCTTTGCCTTGGCATCTCCTGTGTCCCTTGCATCTTGAAGTACACTCTCATTTCCATTATCGTATGAATTTCACCATGCACAATCACAACATTGGCCGTGCTTCGCACAATAACATCGATTATTTCAAGTCCTGCAGCCATCATTGCAGCGATCCCTCGAAAAACATTCAATTTAGTGAATCTCTTTACAAAATCAAAGCAGATACCCTTCTGCTCAAACATGGGTAGAACATTATGTACGAATCTCTCTGAATTGTTGTCATCCTGACAAATCACCCCAATCCATATCCAATTGAAATGCTGCAGTAATTGAAGAATCCCCTCATATTGCTGAGCCTGGTCTGGGAACATTCGGTGAATGAAAACAGCTTGCATATTTATATTCAGCATGGGAGAAGAGCCAAAGACAAGCTGCGGGTAATAATTTACAAAAGAAGGAAGACGAAAAAATGAATCCCTTTACTGATTTTGAACAATAGTTAAACTCAGATCAGGATTTGATTGATGGATTAAATTATTAGTTAATTTTTATACCGCTTAGGATCAGGGTCGGATTTAGGTTTGATGAGGCCCTAAGCTACTGAAGGTAATGGGGCCCATTATATGTCCAGCTGTCCTTTGTCAACAACAAATTGTCACTGTTTTTTGTGTTGAATATATGCTATATGGTAATTTATGGACCTAATAGGTATCTAAAGCCATTTGCACATAACAAAATATGTATTTTATCAAAGCAATTGTTGAACTGAAATATAGATAAGAAGAAGTATATTAATAGTGAGATACAATAAAGAAGTATATTTGGGGGGGACCCCCAAGAAAGTGGGACCCTAAGCTATAGCTTGTTTAGTTTATACGTAACTCTGGCACTGCTTAGGATATTAAAACTATCTCTAAGTGACATGTAAAAAACTGAAGCACTGAAACACAACTTAAAATATTACAAAAAATACAAAAATTCCTTCCAGTAGCACCTTAAAGACCAAGTAAGTTAGTTCTTGGTATGAGCTTTCTGTATCTGAAGAAGTGTGCATGCACACGAAAGCTCATACCAAGAACTAACTTACTTGGTCTTTAAGGTGCTACTGGAAGGAATTTTTTTATTTTGACTATGGCAGACCAACACGGCTACCTATCTGTAACAAAAAATACAGTTATGTAAAAAACTGTTACATCAGTACAGTTACTAATATATATATAAACCAAGAGAAGAAAAGGCTAAGGAGTAGACGCTACACAAATCCAGCCCAACTGGTGCCAGATATATTGCTCTGCTTTCCTTTGGACCATAGCAGTGAGGCTGAGAGGTCTTGTCACCTGGGCAACCCAGGATTTCCATGTAAACTGCCCAGGTTTGTGCCCCAGAGCAGTCACTTTGTTGCTGCTAACACAGCAAAAACAATACAGTTTTACTTCCCCCCCTTTGTCTCTCAAGACAGATGGATGCCAACAACCATCAAGAGGGGACCATGCACCTGTGTTCATATCACATCCTGTGTTGTTGATGCTCCATAGGACCAAACAAGTCTAGTGAATCAACAAGAATCCATACAGTTCAACATGTTTCCCATCCTCCAGAGAGTCAGTTAGAAATACACAAATGCGCTGGACACATACAAAAGAAACAGTCTAACCTTACCTCAAATTTCTATTTGATCAAATAAAAGTTGTCACAGGTTGTTGTTTTTTACATTAAATTTAGTTGATTCTGAGGTTTGGAACTGGTTTGGCTGTATGGGGAGGGGCAATAACATTATTTGAAGCCTGGTCTATGTTTTCAGCTGATGGGAATATTTTGCCATTTATATTAATTTAAAATACATTATCTGATAAAAAAATAGTTTGTCCTTTTACATGAGAACTAATTAAAAAAGGTTTTGTCACTTAGGGACATGTTTAGCATTTATTATAAGTATATACCCGCCATTGCTCTCCTAAGCTTCTCCTGCCAACTTTTCTCTGTTGGAAAAAAAGAGAGAGAGAGAGTCAAAGGCAAGCAAATGGCTTGTTAATCACCCATGTTCCATGCTCCTCCAATTCTTAAAGATGGTGAAATACACCAATATTCAAGCACCAATTCTCAGCCTGAATGGATATACAGGCACTTGCTAGCAGTTGGACACCATGGCTCTGCCTCTCCCAGACCTTGCTTGGGTTTGGGCTTGGGAAGAGGGAGGATGGAAAGTGAGGGCAGGAAGGTCAACATGCCTAGACCATCCTTGTCCCCCTGACACTTGCCTGGTCCACCTCACATCCCCAACCCCCACCCCACCACTGCTTCTCCACACTCTCGGGGAGAGATGCCCACCCTATTCCAATGCCATCTCTCTCTCTCTCTCTCTCTCTCTCTCTCTCTCTCTCTCTCTCCTCCCTCCCTCCACATGCCCCCCTCTAAAGTGGTGTGTTCCCCACTTTACACCCTTTTACTTATACACATGGGGCCACAGAACACAACCCCCATGTAAGTGGGGAGACCCCTGTATTCCAAAACAAATGTAAATATTTTCATAATCATCCAGGCTTCATGCACATGTCCTACTTGTGGCATCTTGTATGTGCAGAGGATTGTTGCCATGTCGAGACATAAACCAGAGTTTGGTCCCCCAATGACTGCTGTTGGAATGTTCTTGACACCACACTTGTAATTTGGAATGAATCTGCCTCTCCTGGAGAGAAGTTCCATGGAGGCTTGGTAGGTCCATCTTGCACTGAAATGGCTATTATAGATGTGGAATCCCAGAGTTATATTGGGTAAGATTTGGGGGTTTTCATTTATGTCCTTTACAGCAAATGCCATGGCCAGGATATGCTGATAGAGTTGTGTCATTGGCCTGCAAAGAGAGTTATATGTTAGATAATAGTGCACCTTCATAAAAAATAGATTGTATGCCCAGAGTCCAGGGAAATGTGTGCATATTGTCACACAAACCTGGGCATTTGTATTCCTTGAGTCAATTCCTGCCCTGGTTTTGAATGATGTTAACTAATACCATTTATGCACAGATTCATGTACAATGTATATAGAAGTTCCATGTAAAGTTGAGGCTCCTAATTTCTTCTAGTGGTTGAGATTCCAGTGATAGATAAAACCCAAGAGACTACAATCAATTGGACATATTTATTTTAAATACATTGGTATAAGGCAAGTGAAACTTTATCAAAGAGAAATCAAAAGCAAAAAACAATTCTTGTGGAAAGACAAATCTAAGAAACAATAAGGTAGTTATTATATGCATGGATTTGTGTATGCAAGATTTAGTATTATTCAATTTAACTTTACTTGAATGCAACACTCAGCTCTCTAGTTAAAAAGTTTGCTACACAATCCCAGCTGTACTAAGTGCATGACATTTTAGTTTAAGAGAAGAAGAGAGCTACCGATACAAAGTGATGCTCCTGTGACTTTAGATGTGTGTTGCTAGATATCAATCTGGTGTCTGCCAAATAAGAAACAGAATTATCAAAAAAGAAAAATGGTACAGGTAATAATAAAATATAAATAAAATAGTGAAGTTTGAACCGCACATAAGAATAATATAATCTATTAAAATTTAAATGTATTAAGAGCTGTCTCCAGGTTAAAGATAATAAAACGCTAGTTCTGTGTCATAATCATAAGGAATCGTAAGTGTCTTAGAGAAGATCATCAGTTGCCCAAGACAGTATTATTTCAACGCTATTTTGACAATGGTGGACCCCATTGTCCAGATTTTTCTAAAATCACACAAGTATCTTTCCAGAGGCATAATTTCATGTAGGTTCCTCTTGAGAAAACTCTTGAGAAGTCTGGAGTACATGAGAATTAATGGTTCCTTTGTGTAAATATGTGGAATAATGATTTTGTACAGAAGCTACAAGTTGTCAATAATGCTAGGAAAATTATTTTCTTACAAAAGAAAAAAAAATCCATGCTTTTCTACTTTTATAATTATGAGTTTAACAGAAACCACCCCCTGCCCCCCTTGGCCATTTATTAATTGTGATTTATTAATTGTGATTTCTTTTTCTTTTTTTGTAATCTTACTTTGCCTCATAATGGTTTTGTCGTGACTATATGTTGGTTAATGCTGATTAAAACTACAACAGAAAGACCAGTCACTGGCAGTAGATCAGACTTCATTCCTATGAACAGAAGTCTGAAACCATCTATTTTCTCATATATAACTTCTGGAGAACTGGGGTTGAATATGAACATCCTGCTTAAACTGTTGCTAGAATCTCAAGTCATGCATATTGTAGAATACTTGTTACTATGAACTACAGGAGTTGATAAAAAATTCTGAAGCAAAAGAAACTGAAAATGGATGTGCTAAATGGTAAATCGTTAAATGTAATTATTAAATATTAAATTTAACTGAAAACCATGGAATACACCCTACCTTATAACAATAAATATTGATAGTATAAATGACACTCCCTTCAGAAAGCAATGTAAGTCATCAGATCTCCCAGTCCCCCATAAACATATCGACTCGAAAGAAGAACAGTGGAATAATAATAATAATGCGAAAACAAACAAAAATGCTGCTAATGTCTCTTTGAACAAGGGGCAATAGAAAACAATGACTTAGAAGACAGAAAAATGGGTTTCAGGATTAGATCTGCTCCCCTAGAAAAAGAGAATTTTGAGAAGGTAAAAGGTGATGGTGACAATGATACACCAAATATAGCTATACATTCAAAGAAATACAGCTCCTTACAGAATTTCTCCAAAGAGGTCAGAAGAGGGAAGTCTATGGAAAGTTATTATATTAGAAGTTATATACACCTGTGACATAATGCCAGCAATGATGATGTCTCCTGACCGATCATATTTGTGAAGAAAGGGAAGAGGGTCTCTGATGGAACATTGAGCAATAGGAACCTTGCATACAGCCCAGGGCAACAGCACTAATACCAACATTGCAAATACTGCCATCTTGCAGGAAATTCTGAAGTTCAGACCACAGTTCAGATCTTCAAACATTGCCATTCAAGAATTCCTAATTTCCACAGCCTAACCTGAATGACAACTCATTCGACACCAGATTTGTAATGCAAAAGGAATTGTTGATCAGATGGGCAGAGTTCTCTGTTATCTATAGCCCGAGCTCTGAATATCACAGGGGATGTTAACAACATCTTCCAAACTTGGTTCATCATTTTGCAAGTGGCGCCTTCTGGAACACCGCCCACCCCCAAGGATGGGAAGCAGCAGCAGAAGAGATTATGGTTAATTTGGTAATTACATGTGAGATAATTGACTGCTTTGGGTTTAAGTTTTAAACAGCACTTCAAAAGGGGAACAAAAACGTGTATCATATTGCTAACTTCTTTTAAATACACACCTCTCAGGAAAAAAAAAAAGTTTTGATGTTCCATTATTATTTTTATTATTAAATTTCTATACCGCAGAGGCC